GAATTAATATTACCAGTTTGTGGAACCAGTGGTGTAGAACGAGGCCGTGAGAGAGACCACTGCTTTGAGACACTTGAGGGGGTAGGAGAGGAGGCGCTCATCTCCTGAACAGACATTTGGGATGAATCTGATTTAGATCTAGAAGCTGAATGCAAAAGACTTGGGGAAGTAGATGAGTGTTTTTCTAGGGTGGGGGAGAATACGCCACTAAGACTGGTAGAAGAAAGCAAAGGATATGACCGGCAGGTAAAGATGGGTGAGTAAGTGTGTACTCTCTGAGACTTCTGAGGTGCCCGGGACCTGGAAGCAGCATACCGCAGACCTTCTGGAGAAGGAGAGGTAGGGTGTGCAAGGGAAGAGGGTGCTGGGGCATAAGGAGGAGGCAGCATAGACTGCAAACCTGGAGAGGCAACTGATTTTCTATGGGAGGAGAAAGGGGATGACAGAGGACTTCGGGAGTCTGGAGAAAGCATTCCAACTGGAAGGTGCTTTTTAGGAGAAAGGGACCTCGCCCTAGGAGTGGGATGAGGCTTGGAGGGTAAAGGCAGATGCCGAGCCCATCCTGAAAGCCAATATTCCTCTCTGCTGGGAGAATCTGGCCTTATAGGAGGGCTTGAAACAGATTTCTTGGGGGTTGGGGGAGTTGTTTTGGACTTCTGATCTATTGCAAGTGTTGAGGAACCAAGGGAGCTAGGAGAAAACGTGGGACAAGAAGCAGGGGAAAGTGGTCTCCTCTGAGAAGAGCCTGATCTCAAAATAGCAGTTAAGAGGGCCAGTCTGGTTGGCAGAGGGGATCTGACTCCTGACTTTGCTAAATTTCCTCTAGATGACATTTGTGTGCAAGGCTCATTTGTACTACATATGGTCGAAGAGGAGCCGGAAAGAGAGGGTGGAGACAAAGGTTTAGGGCTAGGAGATAACGAATGTGTTATTATATGTACAGGGACAGGAGACAAAGCATTCAATCTTTTAGAAGAAATGGGGGATAAAGGCTGAGCTGAAGATCCTTGAGTTTCAGCTGAACGTGGAGGATCGGGGGAAAGACTTGGGCTCTTTGCTGGAATGGAGGATGTGGTAAAGTCTCCCATTTTGCAAACACAGCCAGGGGTGTAGAGACTTGGTGTTTGTAGGTTATCATACAATCGAGGAGTGGAGTAACAACTATTTGACTCAGACGAGGATATTTTAGACATGGAGGGGGGTGAACTATGGGAAGCAGACTGAAAGTAGAGAGATGAATCTTGCTTAGAAAGCCCAGTTGCTGACTGCCAGTTGTTACGGGAGTCTTCCAGCGAAGAGGCTTGATTCAGATTAACCATGGCACCACACACTACTTTCTGATTAGTTGGAGAAATTAAGTGGACAGCAGGTGGTTTAGAGGAAAGATGATCAGAGGTGGAAAGAGTAGAAATTAACTGGAGAAAAAAGAAAAACAGAAATGTTAATATAGGTGGAACCTGTGGAACTGTTAAGCACCTCACATTTCAGTCCTGTGGCCATGCATACAGTGTTTCCATTAGTACTGCTCTGTGGGTTAAAAGCACTGGGCTGTCTTAAACTCAGGGATACAGCCTGATGGATACGGCTCTCAGGGGAGGTGACTGAGTGCAGACAAGTTATGTGTTACTTTATTTTTATGAGCCCTCAGTTTTGTTGACATAAACAAGGTTCAAGGCTACTGTATTTTTCATTTTAGCTAAAACCCAAGACAGTTGTGCCATCAGTGTCCAGAATCACGTGATGTCATTCGCATTGTGCAAACACAACGGAAAGTGAGAAAATTGCAATATTGTCCCATCTCACTTTACCAGTTCAGTGGAAAGTAGCCTTTCTGTAAATGAGATTCAAGTCAAGTACTCATTTTCACATTCAATAAACAACACCTTCTGCAGCACTGTGTTATCAGAACAAGAAATTTCCTCAGAACTACTTAAATCAGACATCCAGTTTGTTTTTCACTTCTCTTGTCATTCACAGAGCAGTGCGTTTGACAGTAAACAGGCATGTAAGAGTCCTTATCCCTTCTGCACAGTCTTACAATACACTAATAAAACAGTAATGAGCTCTTTCATGAGTGCCTTTTTTCTTAGGTCTATTCTAATTAGGATTTGTCTAAATTAATTAGAGCATACAAGTATATTATCAACATTTTATACAGTTTTATGCTTCTAAAGAAAGAAATCCTTTCAAAATCTTCCAAGTTACTATAATGCTGAAATTAAAAACTGAGGTATACACAATATGAATAAAACATATCAGTATGAAATAGTGAGCTAAGTCAACTGTAAAACCAAAAGGCTACAAATTATCACCTAACTTTTGACTGAGCAATTTGAAAGCAGGGAAATTGACTAATCCCTACAACTTCATATAAATATAAGAACACCTATTTATCTATTGTCTGATACCCTGAAAAGATTATGCAATTCTATGAAAGACAATTGTAACATCCAGTTTCTACATACACGACTTGCGCATGGCTTTGGCTCAGCTTATGAATTCTATATTTTAATACAAATATCTTCCCTATAAGAGAGAGGAGTTATTATTATTGTATCATATAATATTGATACATCACAAAATAAAATAAGTACAAAACATATAATTTTCAAGTGTGGTGGAAGAAGCTGTGACAGGAGAGTAAGACTAAAGGCTTAAAAAGGCTAAGTTAAAAGGCTAAACTATACCTAAAATGCTAAACATGGCTAAATATGCACAGCGGAACCCTATTAATATAGATGCCATGCAGAACAGCCCAGTTTCTCCCAACAAGGAAGGTGCATTCTTTCTGGCGATGGCAGGAGTTTGTAGGGACTCTTGACACATTTGTCTGGAAAAGCCAAACCAGATGAAATGCACTGGACAGAGGAATGCCAAGTGACTTTGACTTGTTAAAAAAGCCTTCTGGCTATTTATCTCCCACAGTAAGTCAAGAAGTTTCTCAAGCTGAGTTAATGTCCTGGCATTCAGGGGAGCAGACACATCTCCCCTCACCCCAAAGGGTGCACTCCCGAGGGCAGGACTCAGTCTGCCTCTCTTTCACATAACTAGACTCACTTTAACATTAAAAAAAAAAAAAAGGACAATATATAAACAGTAAACAATCACCAAAAATTTCCAAATATGACCAGAAGACCAGAATTTTTTAAAAAAAATTTTTTTAAACTGATTTTTTTTTCAGACTTTCAGTATGGCATAGCATTTTCCAACATCAGTCAGGACCTTTATGCCTCAAAGAACAATGGAAGCTTCCATTTTTTCAGTGCTTTTATTTTTTTTTCTTTCATTTAAACAGAGTCAGAAAGGAATGAAGCCATTATAATCCTCAACAAGGTAGCCCCTATATGGGATCCTTTGTACATAGGAAATCTACCAACAACTAAATAATGCATCTGTTTAATAATTTCGTAATTTTCCTTCATTTCTGAACTGATGATATTTCATTAGATAGTAAGCCAGAAAGAGTGATGCCCCAGGAAACACCAAAGAAGAATCAGAACATCAGTGAAAAACAACTTTGTAAAAAACATCTTCTTCTTATGAAGAGATAGAGACAGCTAAAGATATTTAGAAAATTAAGACTGAGGAAGTACTTACAGTCTTGAAAAACTGTGACTTAAGAATAATGATGAGATATGCATTACCCATACTACATACTATTTCTCTTCACATTCAGGTGAACAGTAAAGTTAGGCTTTAATTCCTTGTCCTGTACAATCTGTATTTTCTGTTACTTTACTAGGCAAATCTCTGTTTACTTGTCAAGTCATCAAAAGCTGAGGAAAGCTACAGCATATGAATTTTTCTGCATAGTCTTACAAAAAATCCACCCAGTTTTTGTAATAGCTTTTAAAGAAACCACCCAAGTAAGCCTGGCAGAATCTGCATACTGAACATTGCTGAAGTAAATTTGTATTTCCCTAAGACAATTATTCTTTTACAAGCTGCTTCCCCTACATAGGTTTATCTATGCCTTTACACCTTCCTCAGGTAAAATTCTCACTAACTTCACTGGGAGTTTCTCAGAAGAAATGAATATTTCAGAATGCTGTAAATCCCAAACCAGGCTGGATTTCTTATTCACAATTTCCTCAATCAAAAATTGACACTGAATTTGATGAAAAATTGAGTAGCACAAGTATTTCAACACAAGATAGGAAGCCCTATTCATTTTCAGAGACAAAGTAGCCACGCTCAACTGGTTTTTTTAATTATCGATGAAGAACGGTATTTTCAACTGATGGAAACCCCGTTGAGGTCAAAGGAAATGTCTGAATTTATTCCATGTGAGAAGCATGTTGCTAAAGGTAAAGTTTTCCACTACATACACATCCTTGAAAACTACCGGTGCTCTTTCCAAGATGAGAGATATTAACTTTTCCTGCAGTAAATTGGATTGACACATTTTGAAAATGAAACATTTCAAAGACCCTTTTTTCAATTCTCTCATTGACAATTTAAAATTTCAATAAATCAATAGATGTGCCCCATGAAGATCAAAATGGACATTTCAACTTCACTAGTTTGTTACACCTGTGCAAAGCCAGTGCTAACTAACAATCAGAATAACAGGATTTTTACAGCTTCTTTCTCTAGCATAAAGGGCTGCAGCAGGTGCTGAGAAAAAAATAGGCCTGGGAAGTCTGATGCTAATAATTCAAATGATCTACAGGCTCCACTGCTTTCAACGACCTTAGCCAATTTAGACTTGCTAGGAATCTAACACCTTCTGATTAACTTGCTGTCAGGATGACCGGCTCTCAAAGGAAAGAACAATAGATCTGCATTACCTGCTCCATTTATACACCAGAGCCATAGGGAGAGGCTGTAAGTCAGAAGGGTTGGGACAACTCCTTAGAGTCCAAACATTACAGGAATCACCAATAAAAATGCTGATTAAAGAACAAATTGGCCAAGCTGCTTTACAAACTGACTCAGCGTCCATGTCCTGAAAGCTCTAGAAAGCAAAGATTAGCTCTAGAGTTTAAAGAGCAGGTTACCTGATGTTTTTGCGGATCAGCAGCGCTGTGGGAAAGCGCAGCACCTGGAACGTGCCCATCGCCAGGAGGTTTCCCTGCCCCGGTGCCAGGGGAAATGTGGGAGGTGGCCAGCAGCTGAGCGCTGATGGGACCGTAGCCATTGGAAGGCCGATGAACGTTGTTCGAGGCAGCGGCTACTTCATCTTCATCACCGGAGTCCGTAATCAGGATAAACTCAGCCTTGAAAAGGTCATTCTCCTGCATTTCTCCTTTGCTCGAGTTACACTCGTGGGACTGGAAAGCTGTTCGGGTGCTGTCTGTACAGACGGCGGACACACAGTCTTGTCTGGCCCCGCTCTTTAAGGCCAGCTCATCAGAGACTGCGTTAGACTGCAAAAGATACAAGGAAAAAGACCCCAGTTAGCTGCATTTTATTGGTGTTTCCCAAAATGCAAAGTAATTTTGGCTTGCACTGTGCTACCAAAAGTGCAGAGGGCGACTTAAGAATTTGGGCATGAGCACCCAGCAGAAACCAGCTCCCCAGGGAGCCCCACTTCCAGCCCGCCAGCCAATGCTGCGGGGACTGCCTTCCCAGTGACTCGCAGAGCAGCAGGGGACTCTGAGCACAACGATGGCCCGAGCCCGGGGCTGGCGCGGGAACCGAAAAGGAGGGTGCAGTCAAGCCGAATGAGCTGTCAGACCAGACTACGCCAGACACGATGGGAAGGCATCCCGACCGCGGGATCCACGGGACCAGACAATGCTCCGCAGAGGAGTCTGACAGACAAATCTGGGACAAAACCTATACATATTAATGAAGAAACAAAGGCCTTTAAGCCAGGGCATTCTCTGAAGAGAGCAGACAAAGAATCTGAGGTCAGAGAGCTTTACTGTATGTTCAAGCTTCTCAGCACAGACCACAATTGTTCTTCGTATTTTCTGCTGTTTCCACTTCCAGTATGTAACTTCTCAAGACGCTTTGGATGAGAGCAGCAGTAGCGCAAGCTGGGCATAAGACACGCACAGTACCAAATCATTCAATACTGAAACTGCTATAGTAAATCATATTTCTCTTGAAGGAGGAATCAGGTAAAAGAATATAAATGTTGTGTACTGCAAGAGAAAGCCTGTAGATGGGGCTCATATTTGAATCTTGCCTGAGGAATACAGTAATGACAAATTTCCACTGGCAGCTCTGCAAGTGCCTGGCGCTCAGTTCTTTAAAAAAACATTGGACCATAGAGGGGGATACCACCAGTATGACTTTGGAGGTGTTATTTTCATTATCTGATGTTGGTTGGGTTTTTAAAATATTGTTCAGGTTCTAGACATTTTAGAAAAGGGAGTAATCAGTGCTATGAAGGCCTCAGTACTGCATCACCTGCCAGGAAAGTATCCTCTGCCTACCCAGAAACACAGGGAGGCAGAGGTCAAGAATACCTGATTCTGCCTTACCCAGGGCACTACTTACAGCAAAACCAATACTGAGCGGCTGGAAATGTAACTAACTCATGAGTTAAACATCCTGAGGATAATAGTCCAGTGCACGTCTCTTCAAACATGTCCATTCTCTGCCCAGACCAACCCCTTTTTAGGTCAGGTAGGCCACTGAAAATGCTGGAGCATGTTCAGGTCAGAGGACTGTGAACTCCTCTGAAAAGTTCGTTAGCACCAAGAACTGCAGCCCCAGCAATATTCCAGGGAAGGAGCTGTTATACAAGAGCAGAATCACCAAAAGCATTAATATTATTCTGAGGGTTCCAGTTTCTTCTCAAGCAGCATGGAGTAAGAGGCTGTTAAGCGTTGTGAGGCAGGAAAGGAATAACAAACACTATGGGCTGGCTAAAGGCAGGAGAACCAGGAATGTTGTGCTGCTGGCTTCACCGTCACAGGAAAACCTGAGGACAAGCTTTCAAAAACAAAAAGCAAGCTTTCACTTTGATGCATTACTACGCAACTATGGAAGGGATTGGCACCTTTGCTGGAAGCCACAGCATTGGCATTTGCTGAAACCAGGATCCAATGACCAACCCTTGGTCAATTCCCATGTGATAACACTCCTCACACACCACCCTTGTTTCCATGAAGATGAGGAAGGAATCCCCCCTCGTCTGCCGAGAATATAGCCCTTGCATGACTGACAGAGGACAGTATTGAGAAGGGCAGGAGTTTCCTTCCAATAGAAACTCTGCCAAAGGCAAAACAAAAAGGCAGATATTCTCTTGCACAACGATTCTGCGTCTCTGGTAGGCTTGGTAATTAAAACGAAGCACAAGCCAAGAAACAGTTCAAGGAAAAGAGCTTCGGTTCAGTGATGCTCAGGAGAAATGTTCTGTATCATTAAAGAGTGAAAAAATTAGCACAGACAAAAGTCTACCTTATTTGTAATTTCTTGATTGCTCAGATCCTTTGGCTCATCTGGAATGGTCACAAGGAACTTAGAGACATCTACAACCTCAAAATGGGTTGGAAGTCTTCCAATGGATGGTATGAATGTGAATGTCAATGGTTTGGTTCCAGATTCTTGAGACGTGACCTACAAAACACACAATTAGTTCAAATTTTTTGTCCAAATAAAAATTATTTTTGTCAGAGTTGAAATAACATTAATTACTTCATCTACATAACTTACAAGTCTATTATTAACTATACTGGTCATTGTTTTTTTTAACAGGTCATTGTATATTAAGGTCTTCTTTAACAGACAGAATACTGCCTTGATTATACCCATCATCATTCTATATATTCTAATGGTGTACCACAGCAGATAGGAGAAAATTTGTTCAATAATTTGTTATTCTTTCCATTTTCCATACCAGAAACAGAAAACCATATTCAATTCATTTCAAGGCTGCTTTTGTCTTTGTTTAAATCCACTTTAGTAGAACAACAATGTAATTATACCACTGTATCTGGATATAATATAGCCCCTAGAGTATTTGCTTAACAACTTATAACGAATTGGAAGAACCTTTGCTCGGCAAAAAGAAAGCAAAACATGTTTACATTTTCTAATGCAAATGCAGCTGATTCTGAACAACATCTGGAATGAATTCTGATTCAAGGAGAGGATTTTCTCCCATTTTCTTTGGACCATTCAGCCACATACACCAACTAATTCTGTGTCTGTCTTCTCATTTCTCCCTCCCCAACTTGCATTCTCGCTAGAACCATGTACGTAGGGCCTGAATGCACTGAAGAGAAGAGAGACTAAGAGAAGGCAATTTCACCTGAACGTTCAATTTTATGACAGTGCTTTCCCATCATTTCCATCTCCTTCACAGGAGATACTGGACAGGAAAAAGAAGTCCACACCATGGTAAAAGTTGCTTTCTAGATATCAGGGAGAGGAACTCCAAAGGCCTTGGCAAGGTAAGTGGGGGGAACCACATGCCAAACCACTGAGCCTGATATTCTGACTTTCCCACTACTTGTTGGTGTAGAAAATCCTTCTTTCTGATTCAAAACTATGGAATGTATAGATTTTCCCTTGTTTTATAATGTGATTTAAAGCTTATGGCAGTTAATTGTGTTTTCAATGAACTCTAATATGCAGAACCTTGAACTGTATTGAATCATGTAGAAAAACAGGACCATTGCTTTGACTCTTTTTTTGTCTGACTTGTTTAAAGTGAAACAAATTGGAGAGCTATGGCTCTCATTATGCTTCTTTGTAATTTGCATCCGTAAGTAAATAGCAATTATGGCACAGAGAGGGATTATGGAATACATTCACATGACTCGGTCTTCTCGTGGCTGGAACATTAAAAATGATAGACACAGATTTCCAGTTTTTAAAAAATCTGAGCAAATATTACTTGCTTCCACTGGCAGCTGTCTCCTGGAGGACTTGAGCAAAACCAAGGCAGGTTATTTATACAAACACTGCCAGCTGCTGTTTTCTCTACAATTTAGGAGAACTCTGCTCTCTCAGTCACACCCAGAATAAATTTCCATGTGTCCACCTCTAATTCTGAAAGAATAAGGTGTTTTGATATTTGAAAGTGCAAAATCTGAATAAATGGCAGACATCTTGGTTCTGAAATTGGGCCTTTATATTCACAAACTCACACGAGCAGGTTATGTTACACTGCAGGCTTGCTACCCAGTTAGAGGTGTGCACTGCAAGGGTGCAGGGACAAGGTGGTCTCCTACTTTCCCCCCCTCCACTTCACACAAGTGGCCAAGCGCCGGGGCACACCGTGCATGGCCTGAATCAGTACCAAAAGGGTGGCTGCTAACGGCTCCACCACGCCAGGAGCTCTGGATGTTATTTTGTGTGAGGGAGAAACAACATAGCTCTGTCCTTCTTTCAGCAGTCAAGGTACCCAAGTCTGATCATTGCTCTTCATAAAGCAGCAACAGAATTTTAAAATATTAATAGCTGGCACCTTAAACACTTAGTCTTTGCTCCTGATACAAGTCAACATCAGTACTCAAGGACGTACTCATTAGCGAGCAGCCGCCAGTCCCTACAATGCAGCCAGGGATGCAGCCTCCACCCAAGCAATGCTGTACCCAAAGGTGCTCTTCAAGAATCAGGATTACCTGCACACAGGCAGGAGCACCCATCACATTGGCATTAGTGATTTCTGTACAGCTGACACTGTCCACTACAGTCTTACACAGCACCTGGGTCTCCACTGAAATCAGCTAGAGATGGCCTTTGCTTTCCTGCAGGTCTGCGGCTCTGCTTTCACCTTCTCTCTCTAACTTGGAAATGCAGTTAGTGACTCTGGCTACCTCGGTCCTCTTTACTAACATTTTCCCCTCTACCTCACCCTCTTGCCATGCTCTTGTTTGACACTTGACATCAGTTGTTTTTCATCAGTGAGTATTCTTGTGTCAGAGCACAAAATATTCCTTACAAAAGAAAAAGGAAGAGAGAAAGAAAAAGTGTGCAAACAGCAAGCCCCCACACAAATAGATTAATAGAAAATTCCAATCAAATGTGCTAGCATTGCTAAACTCCCAGTACTTTATCTGCATATTCGTAACAAGGAAATACAAACAAAAAGCCAAGCTATGAGGCTCCAGACCATTGCACAGTAATGGGGAGATCTTGCCAGCACCTACTTCTGTACTGTGTCTTACCCTGCATTTCCAATTTTATTGCTTTAGTGGAAAAATTAAAGAATACGTGAAGAAAACTGTGTTGTATTTGGCCTAAACAGATTGTGGAAATAACCATCAAAATTGCTTGCAAGCTAAACCTAAGATTGGAAAACACATACAAAGATGTGCAAGCTAGAATATTTTTTCAGGTGGAAGATGCCATTAAAGCATGGTATTATTTACATTCCCCTAGTATTTTATTTTTCTTGGAGTTTAGAAAAGATAAACCAGCAAATAGAATTACTGCATTTCAGAAAGTTTTAAGTTGTCAGATACTGTGTGAGGCAGTAAGGAGGAATGTGCTCCACTTAGGTTCACTCATAGGGAGTGGGAAACAGGAACTTCTAGCAGGTCAAACTGGTCATGCAATCTAGGCTGCATCACAGAAACTGAGACAATGAACAAATATCACAAGAGTTGTCAGAAACCCCAAATGCTTCCACTGGGGAAAACAAAAGAGAAAAAACTCATTTAAAAATATCTTTTAAGTGGTTGTTTTCATTTCAAAAAATAAGTAAAAATACTTTGAAATTTTAAAGTTTGAATTTTAATTGGAGAATGTGAAGCAGAAGGAACCATTACATACTTTTCTTTTTTTTTTTAAAGGTAGAGAAAGGATTTTTGCACCTTTTTTCATATACTTATCTCATTTATTATGTCTCTCTGGCTGATGTTTCTGTCCTTGAAGAACTGAAAGAAACGAACTTTCAGCATTTAATTACATCTATTAAAAGCCACTCTGACATGTAGACGTAAAGAATAGTGAAATAACCTTAAAATTCAAATATATATAAATATATATGTGAAACTTTCTTGCAGATTATCATCTTTTTTCTAGACCCAATAATAACAGCAGAAGGAATTCAATGCCACACATTCCCTGTTGCTGTAATTCATTTGAATTAATAGAGTTACGGTGGCAGAAAAATACCATATGCGACATCTATTCAAGTTAATACTAATGAATTCTGGTTTATATTATATAATCAACTTTATGCACAATGAAATAATTGATTGTTTTTAATTGCATCCTTTCATGTTACTTAGTTCTTTGAAGAATATGAATTATAAAGTTTAATATAAATAACCTTTGAATACCCATTGGGGGCTATAAGCTGTTGCATAATACATTGCTGAATAGCTTCAAAAGGAGAAACTTATTCTAGATGACTTTCATGACTTCCTATGTCATCAATTTACAAATACGTTTGTTGCATATTTAATACCATCAATTTACAACTGCCCTGGGGATAGTAACTTAAATTATATTAATTATTGTTTTCATTACCACAGCTTCTACAGTCCTTACTTGTAGAGCACATTTTTATTGTCTCAGTTACCTTATGAAGACAAATTAACACTTCTATTTAATCTCTCACATGCTGTATATGCATTCAGCATACTGCCTATTTTGTAATTTAAATTGAGGTTCCATTGTCAGTGATTGCTCCCCAGGATTTCCTTCTGGAATACAGACTGCTAAAGTGAAATTTAATATGCTGGTTCACATTACCATTTCTTCCACTGATTTGCTAATGTAAGTCATTTCACTAATAAAATGACACCGTGAGAAAACCTCACTCTTGAAATACCAGGTACTTCCTTTTGAGGCTGTTTATTTATTTGTTTAAAGGACAGAAAAGGAAATATATGCATAAATAATAGCAAAATAACAAGCACGTGCATCATACCATAGAAACACGTTGACTGACGCGTGGTTTTGGTCAGAGCACAAATTCACATGCTCACAATTCCTGCGTGATAAATATAGCGCTAACACACGGAGCACAGCTAAAGCCGCTCGCCCAGCCCGGGAGAGGGGCCATCCGAAAACACGGACCGGGTTGTGTAACCTCTCCTTAAACTCCTTTTCTGTGTTCAGACTAAAGTCAAACCACAGAGGAGACATTTGCCGCCTCCTCGAGACAGAGAGTAAGGCTAGTTTACTATGGATGAATTGATCAGTTATTGAGATGTCGGAATCTTCATATTCATATCAGCATATCTTCATATCCTGACTTACAGCTATCACAGTAACCTAATAACGGAGTAGCTGATTATTGTGTAATATGAGGCCTGGCTTTTACAAACAGCAGCAGATGATCATCTGAACACCAACTTTATATCTGTGAAACTTCAGGGGAAAAGCTAAATCCACTCCAAAATTCCAGGATGAAATTACAGCCCAGCTGAAGTTTGTGCCAAAATTCCCACCGACAGCTGTGGTCCAGGAACTTCCCCAGGCCCTGTGATGTGCCCATTGTATCACCTTCTGCAAATCACTTTTGCTTCTTTCAATACAGCAGCACACACTAAAATGCACACACAGAAAAATATCTTTTGAAAATTAATGTGTGTAAAGCAATAGAAAGAGCAAATGAATAATAGTATAAAATTGTAATCTATTATTCAAAATGCAAG